CCCCAAAACCCCAAAACCCCAAAACCCCAAAGGATACTGTCAGAATTGAACTATTTAAACTAAATCTTCTTTATCTAGTTCATCAACCATTTGATCTATTCTTTTAAACTGGAAGCTCCATTCATCATTATACAAACTTTGTCTGTAATCATACTTTATATCAACTTCATATTGGCTAATTCAAAGAGAAGGGGCTAGAGAGAATGCTTTGTGTCTATTTTTGGAATACAAAGTAAAGAATATCTTTACTTTCTGTGCAATCTCACTTGGTGATAAATCAAACCAAACTTCAGTCAATTTTGAGAACATAGACACAGGCCCACATCTTTCAACAGTTCTTAATCTTCCTAGTACATTTAATTGGGAGTATGTTAAGCCTAGATCTTGCTCATCTATTTGGGTAGAATCCTTCTCTATGTCATCAGAAGGTCTCAGCTCAGGAGTTGGGTTTGCATCTAAAATACTTTGTAAAGAGTCCAGTCCAAATTCTTCCTTGGCATACTCCAAGAATTTTCTGAGATCATCCTTATTTAATCCTCCAATAGGGTTGAGGGTGCCTGAACTGTTGTCATATTTGGTAATGTTTCCAGTCAAAGCTTCGTCAACATTTGTGGTTGACAGAATTTGTAGATATCCTTCGTCGTTTCCTATAGATAGTTATTATGCTGAAACAAAGAAGTAGGATCTTGAGAAGGGACTTACTGTCAAAACTATTGCTCTCAGCTATAAAACTTGCAAATATTTTCCTAACTCTAGCCTGAATGTTCTGAAGAGCAAGATCTTCTTCCTCTGTACCTCCTTGGCAAAGATATCTAGGGTGTCTTTGGAATAAATCTGTGAAAATCCCAAGTGAAGAATCATATAAACCGTCGATCTTGCATTTGTCGAATTTGCATCCAATTTCTTGCGATAATTCAAAAGCTCTCTGGTAAGTCCTAGAAGAAGAGTTCTCAGTCCCGAGGTAATAACAGCTGAGGATCTCTTCTCATATTTCTTGTGGGGAAGTTGGTACAAAGGAGTCATCTCTGATAACTCTTCTCAAACTGTTGAGTGTTGGACTATTTTCGTCATCAGAAATATCTTGGAATATGAGCCTACACAGTGAGAAACAAATTGTTCAAACTCATGCACTGTCAAGACCACCAGAGAGAGGAAGTAAAAATCCTTTTGCTTCAGATCTGATTAAGAAGTTCCAAAGCCAATGAGCACATGATAAGGATATTTCTTCTGGAAGTGATAGAGTCCTGTTTATGTTCTCGTAGAATGGAACTCCTCTTGAAGAAGATTTGCAAACATATAAAGGAATTTCAACCTTGTTTATGAATAAATCACGATCGTTCAAAACGTTATGCTCTGTAGATTTTTGAGAATTGGAAATCTCATCTAAATCGATAGGAGATATAACTCCTTCTCATGTTTTTAAGTTGAAATGAGATCCTTTAGCAATTACTTTCCCGTTAGAAACTATCATAGATCCTCCATCACATATGAGCTGGGATCCATCTCAGCCTATTTGGTTTGAAACAACATATGCTGCTCCAAAACTAGAAGAATGTTCTAAGATTTTATCTATTTTATCTTGTAGTCTTCCTAATGAATGGAATGTGCATGTGCTGTTAAGAACAATATTGATCCTATCTTCCTCTCCATCTAAGTTCTTTTGATATGAGTTCTTCTTCATAAAGTTGGCTAATCTTTGATTATCTTGAAACTCAGTCCCAACTTCATGAATCATTTTGCAATCAAGAAAATTAAGGATGGCAACCCCAAGCTTCACTTGCTCTTGATTAGTCACAGCTTTGATTTCCTCAGGGAGATCAAAGTCTACTAACTCTTCGAGGTCTGTCCATTCTGTGAAGTACCTATGGATATAACAAAACTCTGAAATAGCTTACCTATTCTCATATTTGCCTCTCTCATTGTTTAAGCTTGTTTTTGGCCTCAACAAATGGATCCTGCGCTTGTACACAATGGCCCTACAGTTGTACAAGAACGATTTGTGGTACACCGGAACCCCAATGTCTCAGATAATGTTATCAGTCCACCCTTCCTCAATAATCTCAGCTAGGACCTCCCATGAGTGGTTGATGGTGTCCATTTCAAGGAAATAATCTTCACACCCATAACCTGGAATTTCAAGCTCTGAGCCGAACCTGATGGTGGCACCTGCCTCTTCAGCCTGTTTGATGGAGTCAATGATGTTGGCTTTATTATGCTCAAAGTCCATGGCCCATTGGTTCAGGTTAAAAGTTGCTATCTTACAGACTCTCTTTTCTCTCTCCATTCTAAATTTATACTTCCACTATCACAATTTTTAAATATCTTGTTTCAAGACGTTCAGTACATCCGGGGTTTTGGGGTTTTGGGGTTTTGGGG